CCCCACCAAAAAGTGACAGCTTGTGTTTCAGCAGCTGTTGCAGAGGAGAAAGAGGTAGAGAAATTCTATGAAGAGGACTCAATGAGATACAGTGGGAAAAGTACAAAGTTTGGAGACACAGGATCCAGGTTCAAACATGGCATATAAAATGTGACTTTTGGTGAGACACTAACCCTCCCCAGGTCTTGATTCATCTACAAAGGGTAGGATAAGATGACCTCTGACATCACTTCCAGTTCTCAATCTATTTTTTTTTTTTACAAATCTCCAAATTAAATCAATACTTTTTTTTATTATTATGGTGAGTTAGTCACTAAAGGTGAATTTTCACCTTCACAAGTATTTATTATGTTAACATGCTCTCTTGCTTATTTTAACATATAGGACTTACAGTTTCTGCAGTATAAGATTGGCAACATTTTGTTCACATTTCTGAATTAAAGTATTTTGAAGTGATGTTCCAGTTCACCTTATTTACGGTCTCATCTTCATATATATAGAGTCCCACATAACAGCCAGTTCATCTGATTCAAATATCTTATCTACTTCAAGGTGACTGTATTGTTAAAATAATTCACTAGAAAGGTATTAATGTTTTATCATCTGGCTGTTATGTATACTACTCTATTTTTAAACTGTTCATGTTCAAATAATATATTCCTTTCTTTACAAGTAATTTAGACTCCAATTATGGTTACCAATATTGCTTTACCCTTTCATGAAAATATACCTTTCATGGCTTGAAAAAAAACCTTTTTACCCTTATACAACACTTTATATTTGCTGATTTCTTTGATCATGTTAAAATTCGTATGTTGTAAAGGATGGATGACATTCAGTTCTTTATTCTGACAGATTCTTTTTTCAGACTCTGTTACGAGTTTTTACTATGCTATTTTCCATTAAAAAGCTATAACATGTTTTTAACAAGTAGAAATATTATTTTCTTATAAATATGATGATTTGCATAATGGATGGGCCATTTAATATACAGAAATGAGATTAAAAAGGGATAAAGCTACTACCTACTACTTCTGTTTATATTTTGGGATTGGCTAATTAAACAATCAGGAGACCCTTTCTTTCCTCCTTTTTTGCTTTTTTGTTTGCAATTAGGGTAAGCTAACAATAGAGGAGTAGAGGTAACTACCTGTCTTGTGTTCCAAACAAGCAGGACTGTTCCAGAGACATAGTTAATAAAGAGATTAGCATGTCTTCCCTAGAGAATCATAGACTCAAAGTTAGAAAAGATCTTAGAGGCCATTTAATCCCAATTCTACATGAATGTGACATTTTCATTATAGCATCCCTAAGCAACGGTCATCTAGCTTCTTTGTTCAAACACTTCCAGTATTAGAAAAAACTCACAATCACATGATGTTACCCATTCCATTTTTCTTACCGTCCTCTTTGGAAGCTCTTCTTTATATTGAAACAAAACTGTCTTTCCTGTAACTTCTACCCATTGGTCTTAATTGGTCTACCCTCCAAGTTAAAGAAGAATAAGATAATCTCATTTTCTTTTTTTTTTTTACTGTAACAAATGTTTTCATTTCACTTTTATTTGCATTCTAATGTCATATTTACTCCCCATGCCATAAGCTTTTGTTTCTTCAGTTTCTTCTGCAATATCTTTTTCTTTTGAGCAACCTCCTCTTCTGGTTTAGGAACAATTTGTTCCTTTTCAGTAAGTATCATCGCAATATGGCAAGGAGAACTCATGTATGGGTGGATTCAACCATGAGCCCTGTAAGTACGCCGTCACATTTTGGGAGCCTTGTTAACCTGGATATGCTCAATGACAAGAGAATCCACATCCAAACTCTTCAGTTCTGCATTACTCTCTGCATTTTTAAGCATATGCAGCAAGAATTCAGCACTCTTTTGGGGCCAATGACCCTGTGTCCAGCACCACTGCTTAGCCTGGGCATACCTGCCAACTCCACCATTTTATCGCCTGAAGGGAACACATAGTTTCTTCAATGTGACATCTTTCAAATTCTTGATAGCTTTTCAGATATGCATGCCTCAATAACTTGAGCTGCTTCACGGGTGTTCTTGAAGTGGATCCGGAGATTTGAACCTCTTGATTTACATGATTTTTGTGGGGTTCTCTGGATCCAGAGAGTACTTCACCACTTTAAATTATTACCTAGAACAGGTCAAGGGCAATCCCATTTTCATATAACAGTTCTTCAAATATCTGAAAGTGGTTTCTCTCCTATGACATCTCTTTTCCATGTTAAATATCCCCCATGTCTTCCAAATGAGTCCCTTAAATGATCTTTGTGAATTTGTTAAACACAAAAATTAAATCGGCTGAACCCAATCATCGCTGTTAAGCACCATTTTGAAAAGATTAGATAAATTCATATATATGAAACATATATTTATATACATCATGTCATATAAATTTAATAATAAACAACTTATTTCTTTAAAAAGTACATATATACTATTTAAATAAATTTGAATAAAATTTTAAAAATTTAAATAATATATGCATATGTGAATATACATGTATATGCATACATAGTATGTAGTACATACACAGCATATGTATATGTATATGTATACATATACACACATGAGTGTACAAATCCTTAATAAAAGGATTTGTTCTGTGATTCAGTCAATGGATTCAGTCAATTCAGTTCATGGATTCAGTCAAAGAGCCACACTTGGGGATCTAGAGGGCCACATATATCCTGGAGACAGTAGGTTCCCTACCCCTGAAAGAAATAAATGCTTAGGTACAATGTAGTACCTTTTATCTTCAATCTATAACTGCTATCAATCTGATTAACTTAACCCTGGTTTTATCCACAGACATGGTTAGGGCAACTCTTTCTACTCAGAATCCTTATCTTGATATCAGATCTGTCCTAGAGCTTGGGGATAAGTTCCAAAATTTCAGTAGGGTGGAGTTAAAAATCCCTAGTAGCTTTTGCCAGTGGCTAGTTATAAATTCTTAGGTCCAGCTCTCTGACTGCCGCAGGCTTTCTTAGTCAACAGTGCTCAGAATTCTCATTGCCTCACTTCTTAGACTCTAGTTGTCTTAACACAAGAAAGAGTAGCCAAGTGAAAAGAGAAAGCTAACATCTGTTCTCTGGTTCTCTGCACTCATTGATATCTCTCATTTTCCTGCTTTCTATCCAGTAGGAACAGAGAACACACAATTACAGTCATACAGTACATCTGTGTGCCAGGAGCATAAACCCCTATGACAGACTTAAATTGGGTTTCTCAATCATTTGATTCCATATTTCTTTCTGAAAAGATTTCATTCTTTCTCCCTCCGATCATGTATACAATGATATATACTAAGAATTTACATCTTCTTTGCTCCTTAGGCAATCAACTTTTCCACATGCCTCCAACACAACACAGATCTTGGAATTACAAAACTTTTCAGTAATATCAAAAACCATTTTCTTTAAAAAAACTTTTTGAGAGAGAAGATGTTTTAAACTAAGGATTGAGCAGAAAACATAATTTTTAAAGAAAGATTTCAGTGATCTCACAACAGGATCATTCTTTTTTTTTCAGTCACTTCATTTAGGTAAATTTTGAAGTAGAGCATACACAAATAACTCTGATAGTCTTATGATAGATGTTAAGAGAAGGAACACAAAAATAGAAAGTGAAATTCATAGATGACCCCTAAATCTAATTTTGGCCATGATTTGTCCTATTTCCCAAATGAAACCAATTGAATGATGAATTTTCTCTTCCTTTTTCTCCCCTTCTTACCTTCTTATGAATATGTTAACAAGTAATAAAAATGCCAAAGGAAGGATCAAGGTGAAGTAAGAATATAAATGAAAATATATCATTTTCTAGGCTAGATAATTATCTTCTGAAAATTGAGAATTGCTTTGGTATTTTAAAGAAAAAAAATAGTTTTAGAGTATCTGATCGAAGTAAAGAAAGGTTGTGAGGCATAACGGTTAGAAAATTGGCCTCAGAGACAGGAAAAGCTGGATTCAAATCCTTCCTATGACACATTGGATATGTGACCCTGGCCAAAGAAGGTAATCTTTTAGCACACACACTTCTCTTCCCTTCATCCCTAGGCAGTTCACTAAGATTATAGATTGTGGAAAAGGTGCTGATCTGCCTTGGTAGAGTGAGTTCATAACACAGTGTTTCCTATATTGATAAAAACACTGATTGGGTTACAGCAAAAGAAAAAAGAAAAGAAAAAATGAAAATGTGTTTCCCAATTTATCATAGAAAGGCAGAATGATGGAGGGGAAAGAATTTTGGTCCCTTGGTCTTAGGCCAAGAAGTCCTGGATTAAATCCCGCTTTGGCTACACTCGAACATGTCACCTTTCTGGGATGAAAGTTCCTCATCTCTAAAATGAGAGATTCAGACTAAATAATCTCTATGGTCCCTTCTAGCCATAATATTCAGTGAAACTATGAATCAGTATTTGTGGGAACTGACTTAGCAAATTTTCTGCTAAAGGCAGAAGTCTTAAAAGATAAGAGCAGAAGATGAATAGGATATTATAGGGAGTCAAAAAAGAGTTGGAGTAAAAAAAAAATCATAGAATTGGTGAAACCAAAATACAATAGAACATGACATTTTTCAGCAAGGCAAATAGAAAGAGAAAAAAGTACATGTAAAGCAAAGGTAAAAGATGAAAGTTGAAATCAGATTTTTTTCTCTTAAATGCTATCATGTAACATAACATTTTCTTAAGTCAGAATTGCTTTAAAGAGTAACAATGAAAACTGGCACTGCCATAGTTTCTAAACCTACAGTAAGACTGTAGAATAAGAAGTTTAAAATTCCTTTACAAAGTGGAAGTTAAGTCATCACACTTCTGCCCATCTCTAATGTCACATAATAACTATACTCTTTAATTCTACCATGATGTTCAGTCCAAGTCAATAACAAAAGAGTCTTTACTTTCTTCTCATTCAAACACCATTGAAATAACCATGAAAAGAATAGATGTGAGCACTGAAAACAAAAATAGAAACAAAGACCCTTACCTGCAACATAATCACCAAAACCAATGGTTGTTAAAGTGATGACCACAAAATAAATGGCATCAAGGGCACTCCAACCTTCTATGTGCTTGAATATGACTGCAGGTAGGGCAACAAAGAGAACACACCCAAACAATATGAAGATGATTGTGGAGATGATTCGAATTTTAGTCTGACTCACATTCCACTTCTAGGCATGAAAGAAAAAGAAGACTTTCATTATTGATATGCCTGAAAAACTGGACATGTACAGTTATGCAAAAATAATTGCAAGTAACCATGCTTCTTAGTCCTCTAGTGATTAACTATCAAGTATCTCTACCCCTAGAAGACATGTTCAATGTACATGGCCCCAGGGTAAGCATTTTAATAGGATTTAATTAGTTTAATTGTTCAAATTTATACATTTATGTTATTTTTTGCTTAGACTAAAAATATATTTTTTATTCTACAGTGAAATTAGGAGGTAAGTGTCTTTCTAAAAGTATCTTTAGTTGTGATGAGAGAGTGAGCCTAGGACTCAATATTTGCTATGCAAAATGAGATAATAAGACACTTTATTTCCTGACCTTGTATATTTGTGGCTGTCCCTCACACCTGGAATTCTCTCCTTCTTTATCTTTACCTCCTGGCTTCCCTGGCTTCCTTCAAGTCTCAGTTGAAATATGCTCTGCAAGAAGCCTTTTCCAGTCCCCTTTAAGGCTAGTGCTTTTTCTCTGAAATGACTTCTAAATTATCCTGTTTATATATTGTTCTTGTATAGCACTTAGCATGTTGTCTCTGCCATTTGGATCACAAGAGTAGGGCACTTTTTTTTTTTGCCTTTGTATCTCCAGCATTTAGCAAAGTGCATGACACATAATAGGTGCTTAATGAATGCTTTTTGTTTGTTTTTGTTTTTGTTTTTAACTTGACTTGACTTGACTTGACTTAAACAAAGGTCAAGGTCCTAATATAGGTTCTTGTGGTTATTTAGCTTACTTGACTAAAAAATGGATAAGAAGGAAGGAAGAAAGGAAGGAAGGAAGGAAGGAAGGAAGGAAGGAAGGAAGGAAGGAAG